ACATTGATGAGGGGAAAAACAAGAAACCAGGGAAGGCAAAATATAAGCGATAAGCAATAATTAAACTTCAGCGTTATATGTATTTTCCTACCCTAAAAGTGGTTTAGCAGGATGTTAACCCCCTCTGGCACTAGTCTGACCCCCTCCCACCTACCCGCCCCCCCCCACCCCATCTATTCCACTGTAGTAATTGTAATTGAAGGATGCAGTGGAAGTATCTGCATCTGGGCCTATTGTGTTGCGTAGGCTTAATAAAGCTTCTGCATAATTTCTGGGTGCAGAATGTCTTTTAATAATTCAGGTATATGAAATGGCTGCTGCACACCGTTAACATGCAGAAGTCCTATGAGTGCTTGTAAAGCCTTATCTTTTCATATTACCTTCTGGTACACCTCATTGTGTGTGTTAGCAAGTGCATATATCTTAACAGAATTTGTATAATATTTCACAATACTTTTTAGATTTGCGAGCATTGTCTTTTTATGTGTTTATTTTATACTGTCCTCCTCCGTCTGAACCAGGGAGAGGAGATTTGTTCATGTCCTCTACAGTGCCGTTTGGTTATTTGCACTGTGATAGAGTGCTTGTCTCCTTTTTTGATTCGGACAGGAGGAGGAGAGTTTGAGCAATGTTGTTTAGGATTGCCATGGTGACAGAGTTGTATATACAAAGCTGACAGCTTTCCCAGAGCCACACCCCTGACAAAGTCGCATATTCGAGACAAGGTACGTAGGGTGGAGCTGGGAAGCACGGAGCACGGCCAGTAGCGTTACAGAGAACAGAGAACGATTTTTATTCCTAGGCTACTTTGTTTTATGCAAGCATTGTATCTTCACTTTTAGACTTGATGGACATGTGTCTTTATTCAACCTCAAATACTATGTAACTTGTGAGTAGTATTTTTTATGAAAGCATTTTTATCATCTAAATGGGTCGCACTATGGAGTACTTCCTTTGTTCATAACCTTAGATAGCTCCTTGCCTGATCTCCTGTGTAATCCTCAGTTAAACCTAGTGTCTGCTGAACCCTGAACTTCTTGCTCCTCCCTTGAACTTCCTATTTAAGCCATGCCTCTGCATGGCTGTTTGCCAGATTATTGTGCTCCTGCCAATATCTTGCTTCCTGCTGCCTCTGTGATACAATCTGCTCATACTGCTACCCGTGTACCGACCTTTGGCTGCTGATTCACCGACTACTACTACTACTACTACTACTACTACTACACGTCTCTCCTGCACATACTTCCCTATGTCATACCCTCTGTGCTACTCTCCTGCATATACTACCTGCTAATGCATTTCTTAACAATTGTTTGTTTTATCCACAACCTTTTCTCTTCTGTAACGGGCATAGTTTTGCTAGTTTTTAATAATACAAAGATCAGTGTGCACGAGACAGTAGCTCATAGTAATTAATTTATAGTTTGCATGATACGCAAAAAAAAAGTACTGCTGATACTAATTTTGCCAATACATATTTATGAAAATGCCACTAACATCTGCAGTTTAATGGGTTTGTAACCATGCTCATTATTATTCCTTGAGCCTCTCTTTGCTAGCCCTCTTGAACTCAGCAGCTCATTAGCAAAAGACACACACAGGGCCGTCTTTAATATTAATTGGGCTCTGGGCAAGATTTACTGATGGGCCCCCACAACCTTCCCAGCTCCATCACTTCCCGACCCAGACCCCATATCCACCTACATCACCTTCCCCTGAAAATAAACTAATAAATACAAAACACATATCCATGCAATAGCGCAATGAACTCAAGATTCTGCAACACAATAAACTCAGGAACGAAACGCACTGAGGACCCTGCAATGCAATGGACTTAGGAGCCTGCAATGCAATGGACTTAGGAGCCTGCAACGCAATGGACTTAGGACCCTCTTATGTTGCAAAGTCCTAAGTCCATTGCAGTGCAGAGTCAAGAGTTTATTGCGTTGGGGAGTCCAACGTTTGTTGTGTTGCAGGGTCCTGAGTCCATTGTATTGCAGACTCCTGAATCCATTGCATTGAAGAGTCCTAACTGCATTTTCATGCCGAGTCCTTAATCAAAGGTGTTGCAGGGTCCTAAGTCCCTTGCGTTGCAGGTTCTTAAGTCCAATGTGTTGCAGGGTCCTGAATCCATTGGGTTGCAGGGTCCTAAGTCCATAAATCTGTATTGCATTAGTGTTGCTTGTCCTCAAGCACTTACTGCATGGTGCATTGCATTTTTAACAAATGCCTCTTTATATATTATACATAGAATGCATATGTTGCAAATGCAGTACACTGTGCAGAAAGTGTGCAGGGGCATGCAATGTAAATGCAACACAATGGATGCAGTATACATTACATGGATACATTAGTAAAATCACTGAATGCTTGCTACGCGGTGTACTAAATAAACCTTGCTGCAAGTGTTTAGTGATGTGGATGTAAATGCAAGATCCGACTACAAGAGTATAATGTAAAAAGATCTTATGTGGCTCCTATTAAAATGGGATTTGGACTATATATACTATATTATATTGCAACTATACACTCATGACCAGCGGAGGTACGATGTTTCCCTGTCATTCTCCTCCAGAACACTTTAACAAATTTGGTATTACTTTTTTATCAGAAAGTGCAAAGAGCTATGATGGTATTATGCAACATGAAGTAACCGACAGAGACCATACAATAATGCATATTACAATGTAACCTGCAATAGAGACACTGAGGATCTGGTTAGGTTGTTTCTTCTGCTGTGTCTGGCTGTGTCCTCCCCCTCCTTCTCCTCCGTGCCTGCTGGATCTCCCAGGCATCCTCCCCGATGTCTGCGTCTATGTGACAGGCATGGGGAGGGGGAAGATCACAGAAGCAGGAGGCACACACATTAACTAGAGGAGAAAGGACGGCCGGACGGTCTCCCTGTCAGCGGTGCCGCTGGGCTTCTCCTGTCTCACGCTTGGGCTAAAGGGACAGCTGCTTTGGGCCCCTGTAAATTATGGGGCCCAGGGCAATTGCCCCTTTTGCCCTGCGTTAAAGACGGCCCTGGACACACATAACTGTCGGGGGTGCAGGAGGCGTAACTGGGTCTTTGCGGTTTATGGAATAGTCACAAATGATTAACGATACTTAATGGCAGTATCATAAAACTGTACTGGTCTGTAATACCCAATGCTGATTTTTGATAGCTGATGCCACTGTCTGTTATCATATGGTATATCTGTATGTTCTCTCATACTTAAATAAGCTGCTCTGTCATGCTTTAAGTACTTTAATAAGCTTATCCTGCTATGCAATTAAATTAGGGCTGGTAATGATTTTAAAATTTTCGTGGTTGAGTAATCAAATTTTTTTTTAATCGATTAATTTTGATTATAACGCACATACAGATCCAACTACATTGGCCTATACACATACAGCACAGCAATTAAGTAATAAAATGAACTAGGATCACACTAATCCAGCACGTTATTAATCTGACGTGCCCCACTCAATATGGCCGCCGTTTGAGTGGGGCAACTTTATTGCTGTGGTGTATGTGTATAGGCCAATGCCTTGGCTGGCGCTCGTGCAGAACAAGTTTCTTGGGCACGTATCAAAATAATTTTAATCGATCAAAAAATGTAACGCTTAATCGAGAAATTAATCTTTCATTTCCACAGCCCTAAATTAAATCAAAATAATTTCCTTAAAATAGTTATATAGCATGTACAATATAATTAGTACTCAAGCACTTTTGTATTTGAAAGCTAAACTCCAGGCAGATATAAACAATACCAGTTGATGTAATACCAGTTAATGTAGTTCTGTGTGAAATACAAAAATCATTAAACTTATAGTCAAATGAAGCTAGTGCAAGAGCATAAATCTGTTATGTGAACAGTTGGCTATAATCCTCTGTACAGCAGCACTCAGACTGCAAGCAAAATAACCCAGACAGTCTTGGCTGACAGCAAACATGCTGACAAGAGAAGGTGGTACAAGACTGACCCCATTAGTATACAGGCAATCCTAAATTGTCCAACCAGCAGTGTGGGTCAAGGACTGTGCTGTCTGGCAGATACTTGGAACACAAGACTAGCTCAAATAATTACAAATCCTTAGGCAGGTTAAAAAAAAACCTCTTTAAAATAAAATATTAACAAATCATAGATGTGCACACAGATTTGTACTACACACATTTTTATTCCATGTACTATGTATAATTATCTCTGTGTAACTTTTCCGGGCTTCCCAATATAAACATTATTTTAATGTAATTGCAATAATGGGACAAATTGCAAAATAAAATTTGTACAGTTCATTTATACCACTAGTTTTATAATAAACTTATCAAACTAAAACTTTTTCATTTTTAATATACTTAGGTTTGTTTTTAGAATATATAAAATAAAAATCCTAAAACAATGGTGCCAAGCCTTGCATGTCCAAATAATGACAAATGTAATATTTTGGTAACAAAGAGACAAAATCAATAAGCTTATGGATAAAATGTAAAATTGCTCTTGTCCACACGTGCCTGATCTCAAGTGTAGACCACAATGCACCATGTAAAAAAAATCAATATGTAAAAATACCATATACTGTAGTTGTGAAATACAGACTTGTGAATAGACCCTACTCAGAGGGAGAAAAATGCATGTTGGTCAGTTACTATAGCTTACTTTGCACATTTCTTTTTTGCTTCTATTGTAGCATAGGTTTTATTTGCAAGTCAGCTGCATACATCCATTGGTGTTTAATCCAAAAATACAACAAAAGGATTATTCTGAAATAGTCAACACATTTTAATTTACACCAAGGTTGATCCCAATTAAAAAAATGGGAAGATTCAGTTAATTCTGGACATCTGAGAATTACCAAGCCAATGTTACCTATAGCAAAATAAAAGGCAATATAAATAAATGAAATAACACTTCTCTACTGCACGGCTGCAAAAAAATAACAGAGCACATCCTCTGGAGAGAATGTGAGAATGAGATAAAGCACAAACTAAGCAAAGCATAAAATAAATATCTTACCCTGGCACTGGAATCCTTGTTTTCCAATCCCCCTGTGGAGAGGAAAGAACAAGCAGGATTCATTAGTTGAATATGGAATGCTATGAACGTTATACAATATGCAGCTGTCAAAGTCAAGAGTCCCAGCTGTCCACTAGAAGTGGAATATTTGTACTTACATCACTGAGTGTGAAATAAACCCGGGCATATAAAATAATGTATGAAATAAAAATAACATTAAACATTTATGTTTATATATGATGTAAATGTATGCAAATGATGGATGCCAGAGAGTTTAAATATTACATTAATTGAAGAAAAGAAGAAAACAATTTGAATAAGAGATGGTATGTTTAAAGCAAACCTATGCTTTGCTCTGTATGGGCAAAGCAACAAGTTTGCTGCTATGCCTCCTCCCCAGCATACACATATTTACCTTTTCTTCCCTCCCCACCACTCTATGCAGAGCTAGGAGCTGAATTACGTGAAAAGTATGTATTATTTCCCATGCGTATATCCTATCTGCACTCCCAGTCCATTTCACAGATTGCATAATATGTACATTACATGAATCTGACCATAAGATGATCTGACCACTGGACTCGAGAGATACAATAAGCCAGTAGGTGACAAGTTCATCAAAACATCCTTTAAAAGCAGTTGTGGTAAAATCTGTAAAAATAAATCCTCTTATCTTTTACTGGTTACGTACCACAGTACTCTGATACCATATAAATAAAAGGTCAGACAAACTCACCGCTCACAGAGTATACAAAGACATCCTACAGATACTGGTAGTAGACCCATGTGCTGGCCTCCTGATGCTGACAGCAAGGAGCAACTAATCAGAAACAGGACTCAGGTGCACAGTATTAGGGTCTCATACAAGAATGTGCCTGTGCAGGCAGGAGATGCAGGAGAGCATCTGAGGCATTCTTAGGATATATCTGTCACTCCTTGAACACAGGGAATGTGGGGTTGGTGCAGGTAGAATAGTAGCAGGAAGTAAGATTTCGGATTTCTAGGGAAGAGGGTTTAACCCTTTTGCTGCCAAGCCCTCCGTTTCTCAAATTAATATTAAACCGATTAAAAATACACAATTAAACTGTTAAAACACACCAAAAATCAGTATCCGTGCAAAAAAAATAATAATTTTCTGACTAAATCTAAAAGATAAAACTGAATTGAGTTAATAAATAACAAATATTAGCAAATTTGTAATTGCGCCTTTTTGCGAAAAGGTAAAAAAAATTAAGGTATGCAAAACTGTAAATAATCGACTTATATAAAAAATTGTTTTGGTGTTTGTGTTGTGATAAAATGATACAGGTGTATATTTAATTGCAACACAAGGTATGGGGGGGCGCCCGGTATTTTTAAAATTAGCGGTCATCAGCGGCTTGTGAGCCGCTGATGACAGCTATTAATTTAAAGGGGACAGTCTGCTAAAGCGACCATCAGCTTATAGTAGAACTGTAAATGCCAGGTCCGTACGACGTACTGAGCTGGCCAGCTGGAAGCACTTTTGTAGCTCCGTACGACGTACGTCCTTAGCAGCGAAAGGGTTAAGGGCTTAAGTTAGGACTTTAACTAGTAGCCACAATTCATACACCAAGGCACAAAGGAGAGAGGTAAGTGAAGGAGGGTAATGTACAGTACTGTCAATATTATTCACCTTCCCCTATGACAAAAACCATTATGGTAACATGGAGGATTGATCTTGTAGGAGGGTGTAACAGTTTAAGATTTAAAGATCTGACCCTTTTTAACCACTGTAGTATGGTAACACAGTTTCTGTTGGCAGAAATGGTCCTCAATATGTGGAGACTGTCAAAGAATTACCATTGCTTTGCTGAGGGTGCGAGATTACTCGCGCTTGAAACATGTGCCAAAGCGTTTCCCTGTTCTGGGGGAGCAAAGAGCTAGAAGGGTGTTCTCTCAGGGACTCAGAAATTCGTCTGAGCGGTACTTTTAAACAGCAAGGAGTTACAATGCATGCTAGGACTCACACATACAGGCATAGAAAATAGTATGATCCTATGTTAATGTGGTTAACATACATGCATAGGTCTATACAGAGTTAAGATATGTACTATGTACAAAGTCACTCATTCAAAAAGACTAAATGCCAAAGCGATTCTGTGCTGCCATCTACACATTGTTGTTTACATCTCCCTCTTGTCCTGCAAAAGACATTTACTAGGCAGTTGCGGCACAGGATGACCTCGACCTCCAGTCATTCTGGGAGAAGCAGAAACACAAAATAACCTCAGCATTCATTCATTCTGAATGAAAGAAGGCCAATGTCATTCTGGGACTGTGCCTACAAGTTTTTTATGTTTACATCCCTCCCCTGGCCCTGAATAAGTAGACAGTGTGACGATAATGAGGTTTACACCTATTAATATTGTTAATGTTACATAAAACAAATGCAGCCTTTCATTTACTTGTAGTGACCTCATGATGCTCTCAGTTTGCTAGGTCTCTTCAAATAAAAAAAAATAAAAAAAGAGATCTGCTAATCTGGGCTTGTAATCGTTATAGTTCTTAAAGGAGAACTATGGGGTTCTATCTTTTCTTTATAATTGCATTCCTTCGGATAAATAATTAAATTTGTGTAATTTACTCCTTTTAGCCAAAATGCACCCTAAGCCTGTAAACCCTTCTTTAAGATGGTGGGCGGGGCTAAGCGCCGCAATGATGTCACTGGAGATCCCTGCTGATCGGATGCTTGCCAGTTTGCAGAGATCCCCAGTGACATCATTCACCATATGTGGACTTTCCCATATGTGATAAATGATGAAGAGAGAGAGAGGGCTCCTTCCCCTCTCTCTTTCTCTCTCCCTGCCCTGTGTGACACTGACATGCTAAAATCATTGGGGATCGCTGATGAGAGAGGGGAAAGAGGGCTCTCTCTTCAGCATTTACTACAAATGGGCAAGTCCATATATGGTGAATGATGTCACTGGGGAGGGAGGGGATCAATGCACTGCACACTACACGTGAAGTAGGCGGGGCAGATGGAGAGGAGGAGGTAGGGGATCAAGGGCTACACAGCAGCGTGTCTGGAAGGCTGCCACAGAGGACGGGGACGTGCAGGTAAGGAGAGAGCTGTGTGCACAGAGCTGCTGCTCATGTCCATATATTCGTGGAAATCATCCATGCAAGCATTGTTTGGAGAAGAGCCATTCAGACCATTTTTTGCTTATTGAACTGGACTCTGTCAGAACTCATAAACCCATGACTGTCAAGTATTCTCTTTTTATTCCTTTTTACTTTACTGTTGTGATATAGTTTGTCTCTCTTTATTAATATCTTCTTTATATTGTTCTGCACTTTTCCTTTTATTAAAAGGACAATCTTAAAAATCGTTAAGCTCATCTATACGCTCTAAGAACTTAAAGTACCGTATGCTGTACCGTACCGTATAGTGAAACCTGTCATATTCCTGTCTGAGAGGACAGTGGTATCATAAGCTTTGTTTAACTTGATTGAATTGTCACAGCATTTGCTGGGAGCTGTCCATGTTTGTTAAAAAAAAACACGTGGTGGCAGTGAACATTTGGTGTGCAAAGGGTTAACTACGAAGTTAACCAACTCTAGTGTCGATCGCTCGCGGTCTGCTAGTCTGAGATTGTTGTCCCGTGAGATGGGAAATCTCTGTGAGGCTGAGAGTGGTATCATCACGTTCTTGTGACGGCTCGCTCAGTTCAGAACTGCGTATAGTCACAGTTGATTGACGTACAGTGGGTTCGGACCAGGCACGTATGTCACAGACAGCGGTGCATATGGCCATGTCAATTTACTTGTTACACATGTAAAAATTAGCAAAAATGTTTACATGCATACTGTGCAAAATACGTTCAAACTGGCACTGCTGACACAAACTTTTTTACTTTCGTTTTAAACAGCTTAACACTGCAGGGAATACTAACCAAAATACAGCTGTATGGAATGGACCCAAAGCATACAATACTGCTGCTTACAGATGTGCATATAAAAAAAGCTGTTTTAGTGCTCACCCTCAAAGAAGCGCAATATCTTTCAGGTTATTCTGTCCCACACCAGGATAAATTGTCCAGACTAGATCAACAGTACACCAACACACCTTGTGGTTTTCTTTTATAGACGTTTTACAGAGCAAACTATAATTTGAAAGTCTGTTCTGGGGGAGCAAAGAGCTAGAAGGGTGTTCTCTCAGGGACTCAGAAATTCGTCTGAGCGGTACTTTTAAACAGCAAGGAGTTACAATGCATGCTAGGACTCACACATACAGGCATAGAAAATAGTATGATCCTATGTTAATGTGGTTAACATACATGCATAGGTCTATACAGAGTTAAGATATGTACTATGTACAAAGTCACTCATTCAAAAAGACTAAATGCCAAAGCGATTCTGTGCTGCCATCTACACATTGTTGTTTACATCTCCCTCTTGTCCTGCAAAAGACATTTACTAGGCAGTTGCGGCACAGGATGACCTCGACCTCCAGTCATTCTGGGAGAAGCAGAAACACAAAATAACCTCAGCATTCATTCATTCTGAATGAAAGAAGGCCAATGTCATTCTGGGACTGTGCCTACAAGTTTTTTATGTTTACATCCCTCCCCTGGCCCTGAATAAGTAGACAGTGTGACGATAATGAGGTTTACACCTATTAATATTGTTAATGTTACATAAAACAAATGCAGCCTTTCATTTACTTGTAGTGACCTCATGATGCTCTCAGTTTGCTAGGTCTCTTCAAATAAAAAAAAATAAAAAAAGAGATCTGCTAATCTGGGCTTGTAATCGTTATAGTTCTTAAAGGAGAACTATGGGGTTCTATCTTTTCTTTATAATTGCATTCCTTCGGATAAATAATTAAATTTGTGTAATTTACTCCTTTTAGCCAAAATGCACCCTAAGCCTGTAAACCCTTCTTTAAGATGGTGGGCGGGGCTAAGCGCCGCAATGATGTCACTGGAGATCCCTGCTGATCGGATGCTTGCCAGTTTGCAGAGATCCCCAGTGACATCATTCACCATATGTGGACTTTCCCATATGTGAT